ACATAATATTTCTAGATTTTTTCCAGGAAAATGGTTAGCATATCCTTCAAAGGACAAATAAGTAAGGAGAGCAATGCACTGCCAAGTTTTCCAGCTGGTAACATCCTGGATTTGTAAACTATAAATTCTGTCTGTCAAGGTGCTGAAATATATAATTCTGAGAGCTTAATAGCTGAGGTAAAACCTATTTGATGATGCATCTGTGTTTTGAGAATGATGGACTTTGGAGACTAAGAGGTACAAATGAGATCTTATTGAATGAGTTATTTTTCTGCAGGAAGGTAAGTTAGACAGAACTGATACTAGCATTTAGTAGGATGAAATATTTTCTCTTAGTGCAGCTACTCAGGTCACTGTTTTCCTACAACTTAATTAGCTTCTAGACTTTGATGCTTTGTGAATTTTTTTGCAGCCAATCTTTGGCTCGCAAGTAAGAATACCACGTGCACATTCACACACACAAATACATATTCAGTATAATTGCAAAAGCTTCATACCTCTAAGAACTGGTTCATACAAACACATGGACTTAAAACTTCTCTCTCCGCAGTTGAAAAGGTAGAATTAAACTGCATGTTTGCTAGATGATCTCAAACATTTGTCAGAATAGGAAAATAACTTTCTAGTCCTCTGACCTTCAGAACACATCTTAGAAAGCTACATAAAGATTGTTTTTAGTCAGATTCTTTCATTCATAAGTGTATCTATTTACACCTCATACACTTAATTCATCTTTTTATATCAGATAAACTTGCAATGAACTTGTGATTCTTCAGGGTCTGCACAACAGCTTGCTGTTTTCAATTTAAACAGCTCTGTTGTTAAAATTTCTTTTTACATAGGACTTAAGGGTAACCATTTGCTTCATAATTAAGAATGTAGCATCTACAAATGCTCAGCTAACCAGATTGTTAATGAGTATGCTTGCTTTAAGCTTTCATGTATAAATACATAATGTCCCTCATGAAACGGAATGGTTCAAACTTCACAGGTTATCACTGCATTTCTCAAGCTATTCACTTTTTACTTTTCCCTCTCCTTGGTGCCCAGAGACATTATTTGGAAAGGTTTCAAAGCCCATGTTATCACTTCTATTCTCTGCCTAGATGCAAGCTTTTGCCCTCACAGAAATCACTGCTGAACGTTTTCCTCAGAGACAGTCACCAAAAACTGAACTTGCTCTAGACTAAAAGTCATTAGTAAAAAGGAAAATAACCTTATATTTGTAATAAACTGAACCAGAGTGAAAAATGTTATGAAACTTAACACCTTATCATTTTTGGTGATGCACTTCAGGAAGTATTTCTTTGTATTCGGTCTTGCATATATGCCCTAAGAGAATCGCCATTGGTATGAAAAATTGAGTAAGTAAATTACATTGCTTTCACCTTTTCTAATATCTGCTTCCAGCTCATCTGAATACTCAAAGTCCTTTAACAGTGTCCTCAGATATAATTAGAAGCTAGTATAAATGCTTGATAAATAGGAACATTTCTCTGTAGACATACAATGTCAGCACTTCTGTCATATAATTTCAGAGTGGAATTTATCACATGTGAATATCTTATGGCCTGTCCCTAATATCGGATTCAACTAACCAAATATAGATGCAGCTGAGCCAGCCCCTCATAGTTTGCAGCAATGAATGGGAACTTTCAAAACTTACTTCCGTCATCCAAATGTAGAGACACAGGGTGGATGCATTCTGTGCACTTTTGTCTACTTGAATAAATGGAGAAATTGTCTTTCTCTGTTCACTTTTTCAAAGAAACTTGGTCTGATTAGCCCAGATGTCTATGTCAATTACAACTGAACTCTCAAGTCGAGTTAGGATTGCCACAACTAGGGACTACTTCCTTTCTCTGAAATGTGACTGCATTTTTACTACAGTTTCTCTTTGATCAGTGCTCTTCTCCAGGGAAAGTTGCTGAAAAGTGTGCTTGGTCTGTAAATAGCCCAAACTCTGAAATTCCTTCTAGCTTCTTGGGAAATAGCTCAGAAATGCTGCCAAACAGATCAATTTATGTGCAAATACAGAAAGGTAATGAGGAAATCAATTTTCTAACATACTATCTATGGCCTTGATGTCTCAAATCAAGGCTAAAGCTCATTTATCCACGAGAGAGAACATCCAGTTCAGGTTTCTGGAGTTCTGGTCATTTACTGACCACTTGCTTAATCTGATTTAGCCAAAAAAATACAAAACTTTCTCCACTTAGCTGTGAAGTCAACAAATACAGAATACTATTAACAGCTACAACTGTTCAAGGGCAGATCACTTTTTGGTTAAACACTTTTCTGTCTCACACTCACATATTTAAAGACATTGCCAGACTTTCTCTTTAAAGTCTAATATGGCCTGTGGGTTACCTTCTCCTTAGGCATCAGCAGCAGCTGATGTATCCCCAAAGATTCGTCAGCCTGGAAAGAATTCCTGTAAATATGCAGAACTTCTTAACTAGCCTACATGTTTGGAGGATGCTATTAACCAGCTCTGGCACATGAGCTAAACATAGCAGCATTCAATAATGTACTGTTCAGCAGGAAAATGGGAACACTGAGGGTGATGCTGCATGTCAGCACACATGATGAGAAGGCAAAGGTCACATTGCAAGGCAAAGAATCTGAGCAGATGACAGCAGCTCAGATGACAGCATCCTCACACTCGGGACCAACACACTCAGCAAAGGTGAATTTGGCAGATGGCCACACAGCACAGGAAGCAGTGCTTCACATGGGAATGCACTTCAGAACGTTGTTAAAAAGTGCTGCTAGTCTTATCCTTGAAACTTGGGCTCAGGTTACTGAAAAATTTAAGAGATGAGGAGCCTCTGAAGTCTAACTACAGCACTTATACCCAAAGAGATACTTCTAAGATGATGTTCAAGTATAACAGGGTTTTAATAGGAGACAGTTTTTACCTTCCTATTTCTAAAGCAATATCAAAACACATTACATCCCATCCCCCTTCTTCTCCAAGGTACTAATAGTAGAATATCAAACTTGATAAGAAGAAGAAATTGCAACTATTTGGAACAGCACAAGATTAACAATTATTTACTTAAATTCATCATTAAAATTGCATTTCAATTAAGCAGAATTAAATATACCACAAAGCCATCTGAAACTCCTGGAAAAGAAAAGAATTTCTAGAATAGCATCCATAAAAATTCAGTTGGATTATGGTATTAAATATAGGCAATTATCACAAAGCAAAATTGGTAAGAAAAATATCTAAAGCATACTAAACAACTCTAATTTGTAATGTTATCAATGTTTCAACTTAGTTTAAAAAAAAAAATTACTACATGCCTATCTTCATTTTAAAATTAGAAATATTTTCTTTGTAATAGTAATTCTTTGATGCGTTCCTTCTGAGCGTTTCAGAACTCAGGAGTTCATAGGTTTTCAGTCTTATCAGTACTGTCAATTGCTTGCATTTAAGGTTGAGTAACAGAATATTTTTCACAGTTAGTTCAATTACAAAATGTACATCTATAAAAGGTAAAGAAATTAACATTTAATTCTTCTTTTTATTTCTAGGATGGGTGTGTTCTTTCACTACTCTTAATTATGATGCTTTAGATTTTCATATGTTAATTAGAATTGTTTTGGCATAGCAATTTCCACTCCTCTCTCAGAGTAGTTAAGCAAACGCATTCCTATTTTTCTTTTTCCCTATAAGAAGTACAGGTAAATGAAAAAAAAAGGTAATCCTACAGCACTGTGAAGTTAAAAAGTAGCATAATTTTATAACAACAAAATTAATTTAAGAGTGGTTTGAAGTAATAATCAGATTTTGCCAAGAGCTTCTCGAGAAGTAGTGCCTCCTATTCTATTATGTTGACCCACATCATCAGAGGCAGACGTGGGTGGTATGGCAGTAGAGGTTGAGCCTTCCCACCAATATTCCTTTACATTTTGTTGCCATGTGACTGGTGGCAGCAGAGGGACAGACTGACAACATGATATCTGACATGGAAGCGTTTATGAAGCAAAGATGTGAAACAGAATTCTTCCATGTAGAGAAAGCAGCAGCCACTGACATTCACTGACATTTGGTGAATGTTTATGGTGATCTAACAGTGCATGTGAGCACAGTGAAGAAGCGGATGGTGCATATCAGTAGTGGTGACAGTGAAGTGGAAGACAAGCTACTTTCTAGATGGCTATGAACAGCTGTCATACCATTAAATGAAAAGTGTCTCATTCAGCTCACATATGCTAATAGGCTAACGGTAAATTTCAGTAAATATGCTGAAAAATATTGTTTTGTAGCTGAGAAATTGCTTTATCCAACAGTGTTATTGTGCTCTTTGTATCTGTTATAGTTTCCATGGAAATAAATAGGAGGCATGACTTTCAGAGCAATCCATGTATATTCAAGAATTTCTTAACTTAGTCATACTAGCTGTGAAGAATAATCTACACTTGCACTAACTTAAAGGGTATGAAAATCGCATATTCTAATCTGAAAATAAATACACTAGATTGTATGCCAATGAAATAGCTCTTATACCAGCTAATGCTGTTCAAAGCATGCTTGAATTGCCCAATCAGTTTTATCTTTTATTAAAAAAAAGCAAATTTTGCTCTTCTGATGTGCAAATTTTAGGTATTTCTTGGGAAAATATGTTGGAGATGGAATGTAGAGTCACTCAGAATTTTACACTTACAGCAAAGTGTGTGCTAGGGAAACTCTGCACATCTTAAAATAGAGTGGGAAACACAAGGCCTGGGACTGGATATAGCCTGCAAGTTTACTGCATGTCACTTGGGATCATATCATTTTTTCCTTCTACATTATTTCTGGCTAACACTCAGCTAGGCTCTAATTTATGGTCTACCAGTGTATCTGGAAGAGCTATTTGGCCCTCAGTACTGGGAGAGAATATTCCAGGTTTAACTGAGTACATAAAACTCCACTTTGTGCCCTTTTGAGCTTTCTATGGAAACCATGGCTCACTGAAGTGGACAGTAACTGTTAGGACTGTACTTACTGCATTGAAGTTAGGGAAGAGATTGACTGCTGCTGCAGTATCCAGAGGAAATGGGAGAAATGGTTTAATATCCAGCGATGGCTGCAAAGGTGGAGCAGGAGGACGCACTAGGGCTGGAAGAGCAGGGCTCTGGCATGTACCACCTAAATGTAGAAAGAGACAGAAGGCATTCAGAAAGTAATATGATAATAATAACTAAGTAAAAATACAAGAGTAAAATAAACAAAAATAATATTAACCATACATTTATGGTACATTAATATAAATAATATTAAACATACTTTTTTATTTGTCCACAAAAATCACTGCATTATTGTGAAAGAGTGCAGCTGACTCAGTGACTGTAGTTCATAATTTTTTGCCAGGAACTGCAGGTATCCATCTTTTATTATTTAAAATTAGCTAATAAACCATTTATCTCCCTGAACTATCTGAAGCAATAGCTCAGTACATCTGACTTCATTTTAGAACTCAGCTACTCTCATTCACTTACAATTTCAGTGCTTTACACTATAACCATTATTCAACTCTCCTCAGCCAAACTACTACAGAAGAAAAGGGACAACAACAGCTTGTTTTGCTCAGCAAAAGCTGTCATTTGCAGACTTTTGATTTATTTAATTAAACCCTTGGCAAATAAGCTTAATCTTGTCAAGCGCAACCTCCCTTGCTGCCTTAATGGTTGATCAATACAAACCTAAACCACAAACAAGTTCAGCAGCCACCAAAATTTGGGGTTTTGAATGATCCTGACAAACACATTCTACTCTCTCATAAAAGCTGGAGTAGGTTCAGATTGCACAGAAATACCCCTGAAATGCAAAAAAAAAAAAAAAAAAACTAAAGAAATACTCTTGCATACCAGTAAGCCACTACTTGTTTGCTGTAGGCTGTTTTACTTATTTATTTGCCCCTTGCAGCTGAAAGCCAAAATGGTTCAAGCCTGTCCTCTGCTTTCAGTACTTTCTATGTTTTGGTTGCACTCCAAAACATTAATTCCCTTTTAATTAAAGACTACTTGGATCCAATGAAACTGTTAAAATATGCCAGTGTTCTTTTAATCTGAGAGGCAGGCAGCAGACTGTAAAAACCTGCTGGTAAGTATATAAGAAACATTAAAGAAAACATAAAGGGAGTTTTACCCTACTCATTGAACAGAGACACAGGCAGATATGCCATCAGAGAGAAAGATCAGCAAACCCTTTCTTTTTTTTTTCTTTCAAACATACAGGCAGTCTATCAGATGAACTGCATACATTCTTTAAGAGCACAAACTTAAAGCACTCAGAGTGATATACAGAATCTCTCCATATTTGGTCAGAAAATCTGCTAAGAAGGGTTGCAATTTCTTGCTTCTATTTGAGGACTAACAGCACAAGATCTAATGAATCAGTTGTAGCAGACCATCACAGTTCTACTTCTAGGTATAAATTCAACAGGAGCCAAGAAGGCAAGTTTTCACTGACAGTTGTAGTTGTTTCTTTTTTGTTTGTTTGGTTGGTTGGTTTTGTTGTTGTTGCTTATTTGTTGTTTTTGTGAGTGTCTGTATGTGTGTGTGTGTGTGATTTTTTTTCCCAACTTTCAACGTATATGTAAAGTATTTCACTACCGACTATTGAAAGGAAAGCATTACTCACAAGTGAACCAAAGGCATTAGATTAAGGTTCACTCCAATCTCATGCTGTTTTTTCCTCAAAAGTTACTGTCATTTCTGAAATAATTTGTCTATTTACCTCAGCGTAAGAATGCTAAAGCAAGCCCTTTCAGGACAGTTGATAAAGAACATAGACAACAGAAAAGCAGAAAGAAAACAGTGTTATTTTCCATGGCTAACTAGCACAGAACCATCACATATTTCAAGAAAATCATTGGTTTGGCAACTGCTAAGTTCCCATGGAATTATTGTAAAAATGGCATAAAAATAAAACAAAGGTGGTGTTGAACAGTCCAGTCTTACTCCTTCTGTACAGGAAAGCCCCATAAGGACTTTTTTTAGTTGCTGGGAAAAAAGTATTTTTTCCTCATTTAAAGTGTTTACATATCACAAAATGAAACCGTCTCTCCTAGTGATAAAAAATTTACAAAGAAGTCTCTAGGCTGTACCTGAGATTGTACAGAAACACAAAGAATTGCCAAGGTGAGCATTTGCCTGACAATAATAAGGAAATTGAAGCTGATTAAATATCCTCTAACTCACAGATGTAAAGGTAAACTAGGTTGAGAAATATCACCAATGCTTGGGGAAACAGCACTTTGGGTGTGTTATCTCATTGCTATGAAGGAGAGTGTTTCAGCCTTGGAGATTCAGATTACCTAAAGCAATGGAACAGCTATCCCATACTCTCAGATATCACGCTATGAAAGATGGAAAAGTTCTTCCTGTGATTCTTCCCTGTTGCATGATTAGGCACTCACCCACCTGCCACTGCCAGCCAATGCTGCAAAAAGTCATCTGGGGACGAGAACACAATTTAAAAGGAATAATTCAGCCAGCTTTTCAAGACCTTGGCTGGAGCTCAGAGCCTCTGGAACAGTTTAAATTCTACCCCAGTCCTGGATACGGTGGCACAGAAAATGAGTAAGTTCAGGAGAACGGCTGCTCTCTGATTTTTCAGTACTGTTCTTTAATGATAGAACATGTGACAGATATATTTGACCTTTCACTTAAAAGTAACGGTAATTTTTACGGCGCCAGAAATTAGATTCTCTTTCCATTTAACAAGAGCAGAGTTAACAGAAAGCAAAAACCTGAATCAATGGCAGCCACTTTTGTGACTCAACTGAACTGAAAAACCTTTTCACAACTTTTAGGAATGCCAATCTTAAATACTTCCCTTCGGAATCATTAGAATAGAGATGGAGAGGAATAGAGTCCCAGTGTGAATGAGTTTTTGAACAACAAATGTGGAAAAATTCTCATTGTAAAGACAGAAGTCTCAAGGGAAGAAATGTTGTCAACAGAAAAAAAAATAAGAGGGCCAAGAAAACAAATCAGAGAGGAAAGAAGTAAGTGTACAGTAAAACTCCAAAGAGAATTCACTTTATAACTAGGAGGTGCCATGTGGGACAACAGCATACTTAGAAAATAACTTTTGGGCAAGTATTGTGTGCTTTCTTCATTGGAGTGTTGATGAACATCAGGTTGAGGTGAGGAACTATAAAGACTATATAAAAGTAATTATGACTGTTGTGGTGTAGTGTATGATAAGCTTGTACAAAAGAACTTCCACAACTTTCCTTGTGCAGCTGAAATGCTGCTGATCATCACAAGGGATGGTTCAATGCCAACCTTTTCACAAACTTTCTGTCAGCAACAGTGGGAACATAAAAGCACTGATATCATCCCAAATCACGCAGACTTTGTCCATAGACTGCGTTTGGTGTCCTGATTTTCACCAAGACATCGCTGCCTGAAGTGACATGCATTCAGGGCATGACCCAAGAAATACAATCCCCCAAAAATGCAAGGCAATACACATCTAAAGTTGCATTTGATTAATAGCATGCTAAAATTCCTTAAAATAGAAATATAAAGTGTGAATTTACAAATTCAATCTTGCAAGTTATAGTCTAAGATCTTTCTAAACAGAACAAGTCTTTCCAATCCATTCGGAGTCCAAAGTTCCTGAAGATTCAAGACATTTGGAAAAATACGTCAGTGTTTTACTCTTAATTTCCGTGGTAAGAAGTACAGAAGTTATACAACTTAAAAGTCTAACTAGCTCAGCAGTTTAACCAAATTGGAAATAACAGTTTGTTTCTTAAAGTTTCAGACAATATGGGCAAGATAATCTCTTGGTCAGAAGAAGTGATAATATGTGTAAATAAGTCCAACAACCAACACAGTGTTATGTTGTGTGTACAAACAGCTTTTGTTGTACGGAGCCACACACATAACATGAATTTCATGCTCCCTGTGCTGTAATCAACTCAAATGGTTTTCCTGAAACCACTGGTGATATGAATGTCATCACTATAAGACCTTTCTTGCCTGTGCTCTGAGCCAAGAGAAGAAGACAGAAATGTTCAGGCAAATATATAATTCCTGAAGGCTTGTCCTTACACTGTCCATTCTACAAGCAATTCTGCAATTTTACACCTGATTTTTTCTCTGTTGGAATGTGAATAAATACTGCATACCTCCCCAGTATTTGATTTTAGAGACATTGTTTCACTACGGAACTAAAAATAGATTTCAAAATGAGAAGTTATTCCAAAAAGAAAAAACAAATTTCATTAAAAATACTAAGTTCTAATATTATCTTAAAGTTATTTTCCCCATAACTCAAAAGAAAGAAACAAAGAAATCCAAATAATAACAGAAGTAGTTCTGAGGGGAAAAAATGCTTTGCTGAAATAACTTTCTGATAAGAAAGTCTCTAATGCAAATTCTTCTGCTCAGTTCACTTGGAAAATCCCTCAGATATTCAGAATCATATACATAGCTGTAAGGCCTCAGAACATCTGAATTAACAGAAACACAAAGACAAAATATACATGAAGGAAAAAAAAGAAAAACCTAAGATTGACAGACATAATAAGGCTTTTTTATTATTATTTCTTTTTTTTATATATATGTAAGGAATAACAAATTTAACATTTTCAGGAAGTTTCTGTTGAAGGACATCCAGAATCCTGTCTCTCACAGGCCCTAATGTACAGCTTAACAAACTGGCAACTGCATAATGCTACATTTTATGACTTGGTTATTGAGAAAGATATGCAACATCTTTCCCTGCATAACCTCTCTTCCTGCATGCTATCATTCCCAGATCTCTTAAGCTGTACTGTAAGTTTAGTTTAGTAAAACAATCATCAGATCTAAGGAAATATCCAGTTCAAATTTTGTAGACACAGATAGTCTAGATAATTTTTATAATGCATAGTCTAGATAATTTTTATAATGTATTTGGAACATGAAGATTTTATGCAAACCAGGCAGGAGCTCTAAATTTGTACCTCATTAACTTAAATCTTTTTGTAGTTCTTCAATCACTATCAGCACCACAAAAAAACAAGTGGGAAAAAAAAAAAAAAAAAATCTCTCCAGAATTCCATTTTCATTTTTACTTTCCTTCATTGCCAAGGGTACGGTCACCTTCCATACATCAGAAATATCCTAAACCAATATTCAACTTCCCAT